TTTAAGAATAATAACAGATTTAAATTTTAATTAATCTGATTTGAAACATATTATTTACTTTAAGTTTAAAATATCACAGAAATGCATTTTTTTAACACGGCGGTAGCTGTTTATTTAAGGTGTTGACAAGCTTGACTGACAGACGGAAGTTAGGAGAAACAGTCGTTAGATCCGACGTGCTTTAAAATGATTCAGCCACGGAGTTGGAAATATTTGTACTTGAGCTCATAAAGAAAAAGTAATTATTAAACTGTAATTTAGAAGAATAAAGTTCCTTTAGCATGTTTGGAATTGTGGATTGGTAAAGTTGGTAAGAGTTCAGAAGATATTTTAGAGTTCGTACTTGCGTGAATGTTGGTAATGTTCTTTAACGTCTGACCGCAAAGGTTAAGACGGAAGTTCCTGAAGATTACATCTTGGTAGCAAGGAATGAGATGCGAGAGAGAATTTACACATGTTTTGTTTTTATAATTTTGTTGTACCACGTGACAGGCTCCGATTGAGTTGGTGCCAAAATAGATCTGTCGTGTGGGGTGAGTTGATTGGTCGAAACTGACCAATCAGCAAGCTAGATTGAAGGTGATTAACCAATGAATGCTTGTTATATATTTTGTAAGATGGTGGTGATGAAAGTCACACAGGAATGGTTCATTTCCTAGCAGGGGTGACTGGCTGACGTGGAAGATTCCACAGGTGTGTGTGGGTTCCCAGATAGACAATTAATGTAGAAACAACAAAAACTTGGTTTCTACTATGGATCTTGTTTTTTTCTTTTTTTTATAAAAACTATAAGGAAACAAAGTTCACAACAGGGTTCCGTTACAAAAAGCATCATGAGCAATGCATTTTTTTTTAGTTTTTTATTATTGTTTTATTTATTGACTTTATTTTATTCTCCTACACAAGTATTATGAGAATAGTCCATTGAATCATGAAAATGAAAGCGTAAAATAGATACCTCCAAAAATTTTCTAAAAAAGGGCATCATGATGAAAAAAGGCGACAAACTTTATAAAAACAAAGTTTTATCCTCAAAATTTTTATGTTATTATTAAGAGGAAAGACCAAAGGATTTTTTTGTTATTATTTTATTAATTTTTTTAATACTTGCCCTAACGTTCGAAACTTTGGTTAAAAATCTTGGTTTTATTGCGTTTTATATTGTTCCTCTCCTTTCATAACTTTCTCTGTTGAAAAAAGCCAAAAACATGAAGTTATACTAGATTATTAATTTAACGTGGGTACCTCCACAGATTCGCTAAAAAATTAACATACCATGATGAAAAAATTACTCAAAGTTTTATCGTCAAAGTTTAATGTTCTTATTAAGAAGAAAGTCTAAATTCAATAATTCGCCGAAAAAATAGCATAGCATGATGATTAAAGGCCCCAAACTTAATAAAAACAAAGTTTTATCGTGAAAAAAATTATGTTTTTAATAAGAGGAAAGATCAAAGTATTTTTTTAATTATTTTTATAAAAAATTTTTATTCTTTTCTAGCACGTTTGAGATTTTTGTTGAAAATCTTGTTTTTTTTTTTACTTCAGCGCTCGCGTAATATTGAGCAATAGTTTTTTTTGCGCTTTTTTCAGCTGAAAAACACATTAATTTGGAAATTCTTGCAAAACTTAAATAATTGTTGGATTTTAATGAAACTTTCAGAACTTATTAAAAAATGAATGAAATTATTTTAGAAATGTTTTCTCTTTAGAAAGTCACGGTAAAAATATTTTTTTACATCTTACATCCCCACCCCTTATTTAATTTTATGAAAACTTAAAAACTCGAATATGCGCATCTCTGTAATTTTTTAATTAAATGCAGAAAACTTTGAAGAATATAAATCATCGACATTTTTGTAAATTGGAGACCGTTTCTACCTAAGCTTTAGCTCTTTATAAAATACAAACTCCAATAAAACTAAGGCATTATTTAATTTAAAAAAAAAGGTTTTAATGGCTTATATGAATAATATATCTTAATAACATTTTTGTCTGAAGCAAAAATATTTTTTCGATAAAAAATGAATTTTTACAAGAATTGTTTTCTTTTTTTTCAATTTTAAATACAAAATGCGTTAAATATTAATATTAAAGTTGTTAAATATTTTAAAATTAAGTTTGAATATGCGCATGGGGGGAAATGTTCTTATTAAAAGAAGCGTTTCTATTTTTTACAATAATTTTTTAATATGCCAAAAAATGTATTAAAAACGTTTCCGGCAAAACTACGGAGGCACAATTCAGAAATAATGTCCCATGTTTTAAAAGTTGTTTCTTCTGATAGCGAGAATCTGACTTTATAAACTGCGTTGATTTCGTACCAAATTCTTTGACTGAGCAACCATCATCGTCGCATTTTCAAAATTTTTAATTTTCTTTTTCCTTTTTTTTTCTTTTTTTTTTTTTAAATATTTCACTAAATTTCTTTCTTCTTTTTTTTTTTAATTTTTTTTAAATATAGTCATTTTTTCTTTTCCAGTGAGAGATATACTGCAATTATTATTTTTTTCTTTTTTAGTTTCAATTTTAGGGACGGAAACATTGCAGATTTTGGACATATCTTCTTTAAAAAATAGTACCTAAAATATCATTAAAATATTATGCTTTTTAAAGTATTTAATTTTTAAGAATTACATTATAGTTAAATAAGCTGGTTCACTTAAAATTCGAAAATACTGTGACTTCTGCCCTTCCGTCCAATAAATTGCTCTGACGTTAGTCGTTGATACATTGACGTAAAAAACGTCAATTCACACCTGGTACCAACAACAATTAAGAAGTGATTACACGCTCCTCAATACCCCCAATCTTCCGAACAGAGAAAAAGCAATAAGCAGGTAATGTGGATAAAAAAGAAATCTCATTAGAGCTGGCGAAATGAAACAAAGAGAAAGAGAGAGAGAGAGAGAGAGAGAGAGAGAGACAGAAAGAAAAAGTGATATAAAGAAAGAAAGGAGAGAGAGACTAAAAGAATGAGAGAGATAAAACAAAGGTACCCTAGTTCCCTTCAAACTACACACCTTGCGATTTTATCCCCTTCTTTCAGAGTCTCTTTCAAAACAATCGAACATTTTTTTCCGGGAACACTATCGATTGTCTTGGCATAATCTAAAAAACTTTGCTTACAATCGGGAATCAACAGCGATTTTGTTTTAGAAAAGCACCAAACTGGACTGCTTGAATAGAGGGTACTGACTAACTTGGCTGATACGATATTTTGGAGGAAGAAAATATACAAAACATGAACCGGCAAATTGGCCGTATACTTTCCGGACCATTCATGAAAGTCTAAGTTCTAATTCCCAATCTGTCAATAGATTTCCTTTGATTAATTACAACTTGCAGTCGTTCACCAGTATCAGGTTGTGCTGTCTGTTAAAAGCCTTTCTGTTGTGGAGTCCTCCCTCTAAAGAATCTATGTTGGACTCACCCGCCTACTATAAGATTAGTAGGAGAGAAGGCCTTGGGGAAACAGTGCTTCAGCCTGTTCATCTGTCAAATTCTCCGCCTTGAGCAAAGAGGAACCCGGACGAGGCTTTGACGAAAGGCAAAGATTCGTCCAGGAAGGTAGAGAGACCCTGAACCCGTTTATACGGGTTCAAAGGGAATATTTTTGGCCGAGCATATGAGCTCGGAGAAACCACTGTAAACTCAGCCTTGTGCCACATACATCTCTCGTGGGGTGGGGGGACTGTTAAATATTAACAGTCGCATAGATTGTTCATGCATTGAACTCTCTGCCTTGAGCAGAGAGGAACTCGGACGAGGCTTTGCCGAAGGGCAAAGTTTTGGCTGGGGAGGTAGACAGGCCCGGGCCCGTTTATGCGGGTTCAAAGGGAATATTTTGGGCCGAGCCTGCAGGCTCAGAGAACCCTGATAAACTTGGCCTTGTGCCACATACATCTCTCGTGGGGGGGGGGGCTGTTAAATATAACAGTTGAATAGATTGAACGCTGTTCAACCGACACACACTCACTAGTCGTGTAATACTCTTCTGTTGTACTTAATGTTTAATATATGATATATCTTCAACAATTGTTTTGTTATTTCTTTATCTTTTTTATCTTTATTTATTTTTTATCTGAGGTCACAAAAGTTGAATGAATTATAAAGCTGAGAAATGCTGACTAAACGTTTCGCTTTAGAAAAGTATTATAAAGTTTTTGTTACATGTTTGGAGATGTTTCGTATGTTTGGAATGTAGTTTGGAAAATTTCGTACATACGTGCATGCGTGAATATGTTTTCATGGGCGTCTGACTGCACATGGTCAAGACGGTAATCCTTTAAGGTTAAATTTTCGCAGGAAAAGAGAATGAACAATCTTGTGTCTGCTATTTATGATTAATGTAACCACGTGACAGGATCACAGAAAAAGAGCGGGAAAACTTGAGTTAAAGTTGGCTGGAAAGGATGGAACCGGAAGGGAGTTCCACAATCTAGAAGTGCTAGAAAAGAAACTGTTAGCATAGAACTTACGGTTACATCTAGCCAATTCAACTGTATATTGGTGAGATCTCATCATCAGTCTAGTACTGCACTTAAATTCATGAAGTCTAGTTACCCTAGAGAAGAGCTTATCCGAACAATTGTCATGGAAATATTTATTGAAAAGTTTCGCCAAAACTATATATAAAATGTATATTTGTTCTGTAGACATCTGTCAGTTTCGGCAAACTATGGAATCTACCAGAGTGGTGAGCTAATCACTGTTGCAGACATCTTCTCAGCCACATTTGTGTTTTCTCGACACTCTCAGAGCCAACCCAACTACATGTTGAGCTAACCTCTGTTACAGTTATCAGTAATGAAACAAAACTAGTATGCCCAAACTCTCGGTCACGATTACTTGTGAATTCGTGATAACACAACTATCAACAATGTAATGCGATGGTAATACAACACGCACGTCCATTCAATTTAGTTTCACTGTTGACTGAACAACTCCATATCAGAGTATCTACACATGTGCAGTAAAGTCTTCTCTGAACAGTAGGCTTACGGCCACATCACGCTGAAACAGCAGTTCCCGTATGATCACCGAAGTTAAGCGACGTCGTACCTGGTCAGTATATAGATGAGTGACCGCTTGGGGATACCAGTTGTTGTACGATTGTATGTAGGGATGTTGTAATTGATAATAGCTCGGAATTGTTAATCGGCGTGCCGAGTTCCAATTCCCGTTAGATTTGTTGCAGCGGGCCGAGAGGTGTGAGTGCCAATCGACCGTACAACTAAAAGGGGGACACCAGGGCAAGGAGATGGCAATAGCAAAGAAGGATGACAAACGCAGACGGTCCGTTGTAGACGATGGAAATCGTGTCTTTATTTGCAAACGGTGGATGGTAAAAAAGACAGAGGTCGTTTGAACGGTGTCCGGACGATAACGGGCGCTAGACGTCAGTGGGCACTGGATAAGGTCGTCAGCGGGTGCTGGAATAGGACGCGGGACGTCAGTAAAGCGCCGCAGGGGTGAGCTGTAAACTGCAGGAGTGAGCTGGAAGCTGCAGGAGTGCTGGAAGGTGCAGGAATGAGCTGAAAGCTGCAGGAGTGCTGGATGCTGCAGGAGTGCTGGCGTCACAGAGGGAAGGCAGTAGCGAAGAGTGAAGTCTCGAAGAGTGGTGATCAAAAGTTAGCCCTGAAGAAAACTGTTTGAACAACTGCTGCTGGGTCCCGTCAGCTGCTGGGCTTGATCGACTTGACTGGGCGCGTCAAAGTCGCGAATCAGGGAGGCTTCCTGCTCCCCCGGGCCGGCGGTATTTACTTGACTCCCACGAGGTCAAGATGTGACACAAGGTCGTTTTTCATGGGAATACTTGACTCCCACGCGGTCAAGTCGTGACACAAGGTCGTTTTTTCGTGGGAAAAACCCAAGCGTTTCCGCATAGGGTCACTGGTCAAAGATTGGTCATAACATGTCCAAGCTGGTCAAGGCTTAGTCAATGTTTTGGTCATAACATGTCCAAGCTGGTCAAAGCTTAGTCAAGTTCTGGTCCAAGTTGGTCTTGGCTTGTCTTAGCAGGTCCTGATATGGTCCAAACTAGACTTTGCCATGGGTCGCAACCCAGCCCGAAGGCCGGGCTGCTCCCCCGGGCCGGCTAAAAACCGCTGCGAAGTCTCGGGGATATAGGTATGACGGTTCATACAAGAGAAAGCGGTGACGCTAAACAAGTAAATGAATATAATTAATTCCGGGCCGTATTAATTACAGTCAAAAGTGTGTTCGGTGTTTGTTGACTGTATTTAAATTAATTTCGGTTCGAAATTAAAGGTCTTTTATTTTTGTTTAGTGGCGAAAATTGAGTTTTGTGTGTTTCTGACAGTTTGGAAGGATGTCGTTGCTATTTTTAGCACACAAGGACCGTGACCTTTCTCTATCGGCAGGCATAGCCGGGGTTGTTTAAGAAACGGTGGGAGTGGTGTTTGGGCACACTGCGACAGATTCGTTATATTCGCTTATGCACAAATACCCTTGGGAAAGGTATGAATCTAGCTCTTCTCCCCCAGCTATGGGTTAATTAGTAAAAACTTGTATCACTAGGCCATTTTTATCTCCAAAAAAATTCTTACACTCTAAAAAATATTTTCTGGCTTTAAATAACCAGCAAACGGTTGATAAGCCGTAGAAAACGAATCAATCAATTCCCTAAATGGTATCATCAAGACCGCACAACTGGTTCTCGTGGTATTCAAAATAACTGTATAGTTTCCAGATAGATTTTGTATTTGTGTTTATGTACAGTTGTAGTTTCAAACAAAATGTATAACTGCAAAGGAATTATTTCCTTTTAGGTAACCAACGAAATTATTTTCCTAAAATCTGACTCAGTATATTAACATTGTGTCAAATGAATAGCTCAATGAAGGAGAGTGAATGTATTCTTCCACCAATACATTCCGTAAGAAGGTGCGGTCGCACCTTTCATTGTTCGTTTTTATTTCTTGTTGCTCTCCTATTTATGGGGTCTAGAACAGCATTTAATGCTAAGTGTGTTCTATTTAAACATGCCATATTTATTGGGCGTTTACCGCCTAAATATGAATTACTTGTTATTTTCTCTTGCTCTTTTTCTTTATCTCTGGGTGATTCATTGTCACAAGTTTTGTTGGGTGTGTTTTATAAGTGATGGAGGTCGTTTGTCTATGTCCCCCGGATCAGTCACTCCCGTTCCAAGCTTACCATCTGACTCGTTTAAGTAGGTTAAAGTTTACGTTACAGGAGCCAAACTATTTTTTTTATAAATCACAAAACATCTATCCATTCCAGGGCTAAAATAATTTTTATTTTTATTTTTAAATTATTTGTATTTTTTTCCCTTTAGAAATGGGGCAACATCACCGAATTATAATTTGCCATCAACAAAAGAAAAATAAGTTGAATTTATTTTGCACGGTTGTGAAAGACGTCTGACTCCAAAAACAGTAAAACTCTGAAAGTTTTGTTTTTTAGAATCTGTTTGCAAGAGGAAACATTTCAACGCCTGGCAAAGGGGAAGGTATAAGTAATCCTCTCTGCACCAGGTCTTATCGCCAGTCATTTGATCCTCTTTCTGGCATTCCAAACAGGTTTGGCGCATTTGTTGATAAATTGTGCTTATAACATTACAGGTGATGTATATATGTAAAAAGATGAAGAAAATTAGCTTTTTCTTTGTCAATTGCGTATTAGTGTCATTTTTCGTCTGTTCTGACAAACCAAGTGCTGTCAAATTTCATTGAATTTGAAAGCTTAATACAAGAAATAAATCAGTGTCAATATTTTATCCATTTTAAGTTTGTTCCACTACTCCTAAGTCCGGAATAGAAGGTTAATTTGAAATAAAAAGGTAGATTGTTTTGGCGGATTTTTTGGGGGGGTCTGAAAACGAAATAGGAAAGAGAAAAGTTAGAATAAACGGTCAGGTTGGAATAAACAGGCAGCTTGAAAAAAAAGTGGAAAATAAACGGAGGTCTGAAATTAGTGGGTAGATTGAAAAAGAAATCGAATACAAATAAACGGGAAGACCCGTCTACTCTAGACGTGAGGATATTTTTTTTTTTTTTTTTACTATTATTATTCTGAATGGAACAAGCTCAGCTGAAACGATATGATTTCGATTTTCATTTTTAAGTCAAGGTCGGAAACGAGGACCCAGACTAAGCGCGACCAACCCCAAAGCCTCGAACGGTGGAGCAGACGTATAATGATTACAGTAGATCTCAATGGCTGAACCAGCGAATGAAGAGAGCTGCACATGACGAACATGCTACAGAAAGCGCCACTCGAAATTCTAACAGAGTCAGAGGTAATCTGTTGCAGTTTCATAACTGGGTTCTGCGTATCAGAATCCATCTGTGCCGCAGAGAAAGGTCATGAAATCGTGTGAGTCACTTCCTGGTAAGTTGAGGTACATATTATTCACGCCATCGGCATTTTCTTCTACTCTGATTATCTTTCATCTTCAACCAACTCTTGCAAGGCTAAACGGCAATAGGCAATGGATGACGGAAGCAGGTTTTAGTGAATCAGGAAGCTTCTAGTCCTGAACCTGCACGTTGGGGGTGAATGTCGTCATCAACACCATTATCATAAATGAAGCAATCAGCAAAGAAAAAATTAAATTTTTGTATACGAGATAAAGCCGCCGACGACGACGATGTGGTAGAGAATAAATCCTGTACGCAGTTTTGGACAGGTTAAAAATAGTTTTCATTAATGACTTCATCTTATTTCAATTGCTTTTTAACGCAATTTACCGACATCCTTAATGATTAAAGCTCGATCTTTTTTCCAGCCTACACTGCTTATTTAAGAGTCGTAGAATGACGATCCGAGAGTTGCGTTAAAAAGCAACTAAAATTAAGATGAATGAAATACTGTTTTATATCATGTCTCTTCGTGACGTAGGTAATCAGGGTACCCCAGAGATTCCGTTTCTATATTATTTGTAAATTGTAACTTCCTGGAAAGATAGTGGAGTGGTTGTAGGAAATTCGGTCGTTCAGGTTTTGTTAAATTAAAAATCCGAGCGCCCGAATCCCAAACAATAATATAATAAGAATAAAGTTAACATAAATAATTAATTTGTATTTAAAAACCTATGGACATGAATTCAAAAATTTAAATGCAACATCAATCGCCATCTTCTGTCTTCTTGAATCCTGTTCATCTTTTGTCCTTTCCTCGATCCTCCCTATTCTCAGTCTTCCCTTTCACTTTCACTCTCTGTAAACCCCTGCACAATAGTGATATTCCCGTCTGACTTGGGTGAAATGAAAAAAGAAATATTTTGATCCAGTTTTTACCTTATATAAATTGCAGTTTTATCTTTTTTTTTAAGCCATGATCATTCGGGACGTAGGTGTTCATGGTTCTCCACATTCTTTTGTATTATATATGTGTTCGTATTATCTCATATATATGAGTGGAGTGATTTTCTGTTACTTTCTCCGCGGTTTTGAAATTCAGAGTTTTGCTTCTTTTAAAGCTAGAGAGGCCAGTGTATCCTACTATTTAACCTATAGGTGGGAGAAGAGATGGATTCATACTGTTATCAAGGACATTTGTACGAAAGTAAACGCAACAGTATTGACCAGAATTTGAACTCGACTCACCTATCCCACTTTCCACGCCGATGGTCACTACGCCACTCTTACAGTTTTATCTTACCAACTTTAAATGTACTACAGAGAAAGACTTATGTGCATTAAAGTTGAAATGAGTCATGTACGTCCTGCCACAGTAGTGACGCTAATCTCCAGGAGAACAACTTATTGTGCCATTTTGGTATCGCGATTATATTGAATCACCTGCTAGGTCTACTGAGAGGAAATTTGGCTCACTTTTTCTGTTGTACCAGACAATTTACTCGCCAAATTCCACTGACAGAACCGATAAAATTACAGACGCTTTGGATTTTGTTGAGAGTCTTGAGATATACAGCAGAAGAACTAGACCAGATATGACATCAATATTCAGTACACGAATTAATGGTATATTTATAAATGTGCAAGATGGACTTCAGTCATTTCCCACCGTCATGATGTGGCTTCCTCATATCGTTACCATCAATATTTCATGACAGTTGTTCTAATGAATTTTTATCCTTGGTACCTCGACCGCACGAATTT